TGGCAATTAGGTACCAGACATTTTTTTTTTCGATAGAAGGTAGACATTTGTCACCTTTGAATTTTAGGTGGGCTCATCTTTCTGTTTTTATTACTTTTTCTTGCTTAGATTTTTGTTGCATTTTGGTGAGGATTTGTGTTGAAATTTTGTACGAACAGGTGATCACAAGATACCTGCGCACAGGTTTTGGTCTCAAGTTACTTGGAACATTGAAATAGAGGTAGCCAAAAAGAGAAATAAGAAAAAGGGGGGTCAGCATTTGGCTTTTAAGAGAGGATTTTGGGAAAATTTTACAAGAGCTTGAGTGGTGGTACAAGGTACGGCGAATCAAGAAGTCCCCATAACGAAGAGGAAAGAAGTCCCACCACCCAGTCACTTGTCAACAGTCTTGGGACAGTGCCGAAGAAGTCTTAGGACAGAGCAGTCTGGGGACAGTCTTGGGACAGTACAGTCTTGGGACAGTGGTCTTGGGACAGGGTCTTGGGACAGGGTCTTGGGACAAGGGTCTTGGGACAGGGTCTTGGGACAAGGTCTTGGGACAAGGTCTTGGGACAAGGGTCTTGGGACAGGGTCTTGGGACAGGGTCTTGGGACAAGGTCTTGGGACAGGGTCTTGGGACAAGGTCTTGGGACGGGGTCTTGGGACAAGGTCTTGGGACAAGGGTCTTGGGACAGGGTCTTGGGACAGGGTCTTGGGACGAGGGTCTTGGGACAGGGTCTTGGGACACGGGTCTTGGGACAGGGGTCTTGGGACAGTAGTCTTGGGACACTAGTCTTGGGACACTAGTCTTGGGACACTGGTCTTGGGACACTAGTCTTGGGACACTAGCCTTGGGACAGTAGTCTTGGGACAGTAGTCTTGGGACAGTAGTCTTAGGACACTAGTCTTGGGACAGTAGTCTTGGGACACTAGTCTTGGGACACTAGTCTTGGGACAGTAGTCTTGGACAAGAGTCTTGGGACACGGCCGGAAAGTACTGGGACGGTCCCGAACAGTCTTGGGACAGGAGAAAGGAGCCTGGGACGGTGCAAAGAAGAGTAAGGACGGCAATTGGAAGTCTTGGGACAGTATAAAAATTGAAGTAAAATTACAAGAAGTGTTTTAAGACAGAATTAAGATAGAACAAGACTAATTGGAACCAGGTACGGTTGAGACCACAAATAAGGAAAGTTTCTCGAAAAGTCAATAAAGAGAACTGAAACAAGGTTTTCACCACGTTGTATATTTTTTTTAAGAAATATTTTTTTTTCTCTCGAAAGATTTTATTCTTAGAATAGGATTGTGTATATAGTAAAATTGTAAATAAGAGCAGTTGTAAATAGAAATAATGAGGCGGAGCAGGGTACCGGTAGCTGAAAAAAGACCTACCGAAGCCAAGTATAATTCGCCGCCACGCAAAACAACATCAATGGGCCCAAAGATAACAAAGAAGAACTTTTCAGTTAACATGGTCAGCACAAGGAGTACAGCGGAGAACAGAGCAAGAGAGGGCACGGAAGGAGAACGAGTAGAACCTACAATCGAAATCGACCTAGAGACACCAGACCAGAGCGTAGATGAACTGGAGAAGAAGACGACGGAGTCAACTCCAATGCCCAATGCAGAAGAACCAAACCAGAAACCCATAGAGTTCTCACCAATAGACGATGTGGAAGATGCAATAGGCAACACCGAAGAAACGGTGAAAGAAGACTCTCAAGTAAAAAAGACATCTTTTACAGAAAGGTTGGCGATGATGGTCGGAATAAAAACGAAAGAGAACGTGACTGAAGAACCAAAAGCTGAAAGAGCACGAACATTTGGGACAGTGAGCACGAAGACGACAGAAGCCGATCCGAGAGAGGAACAAACTAAAGCAGAAGCAACGGCCGAAAAAAGATCAACGGCTGACCATGAAGAGGCTACTCTTGAGCTAGGTGACTTGATGGCAAAACTGAATCAGATCGACAAAAAGCTGAAGCACAGCGAAGAGGACAGGGAAGTGATAAGAAAAGAATTAAGATACAACAAACACGAGTATCTGGATAGTTATTTTAACCTGGCTAAGGCAACAGACGAGAGACTCAAGGAGATGACAGATAAGGTAGAAGCCACCAAAAAGAAAGAGAAGGGAACATCAAAAAAGATTTGCAACAGTTGAAAAACCGATATGATGATGTCAACAGCCAAATAGGTAGCCTGGAAAAGAGGCTGGACACAAGGAGCAAGAATCAGGCCGAAAGTTCAGGTGCAATACAGACGAAATTGGATGCAATCTTGAGAAATTCTACCTCACAAGAAAGACCGGCAGCGGATCGCACGCAAGGCACCAGAGTTGACTTTGTAGAACCACAAAGGGGTAAACGGCAATCGACACCGTTGCCCTTAACCCGGGATACGGTGAGCATAGCACCAACGGCTGATAAAACAATCATGAAAAGTGGGAATTCAAACACAACAAGTGGTCCGGGGGACTCAACAGCTAGCAGCAACGCAGGTCCGGATGCCATGACGTGGGCAAGCACTTGGGAGATGATGAACAGGACTCTAGAGGCCTTCGCCACGAGGAACACTAACTCGAGCGATAGGAGAGACGGAAAATCAGGGAAAACTTTCAAGAAGCCAAAAGAATTCAAAGACGACTCAGATGGATGCATTGACACGTGGGTGGAAGTGATGAGATTACATCTAGAACAAGATAACTTAAATGATGAAAGGCAAGCATGCACAGCCATACTCAGTAACCTGGAAGGCACGGCATTGAAATGCGTGGTTGCAAAGAAAGAAGAAGAACGCGATACCGCGGACAAGATCTTCGAGATATTGCTGAATCGATTCGGGTCAGGCATGAAGGGTCACCAAGCGATGATGCGATTTGAAAAGAGAAGGCAGAGGGACGACGAGTCAATAGATCGGTTCCTAGATGATCTCGAGAGCTTGAGAAGAAGGAGTGACCCAGAGGAATCGACAAACAGAAGAAACTTTAGCATTGCCTCGAAGTTCATTGATGGGGTAAAAAGTGACGACTTAAGGACAATGTTAGCAACATACTACACATTGTCGAAAGACAGCGCACCAACCCCAGAAGAAATGATACAGAAATCAAGGGAATACATGCTGATGAAACCCAAGAAATACTCATATACAGAAAACAGGAACACGCAGGGGGGAAGTCAACCCCAGAGGTCGTCATGGTACAAGCCTAGAGATGACATGGACAAGCGCAGATCATGCGCGAACTGCGGGTCGGCGGATCACCACGTGGCTGACTGCACAACATACAAACAAGGCATGAAGAGCCTAGGATACGCACCGGATGAGGAGGACATGAGCCAGATGGAGGAACACGAGTACTATAATGGCTTAATCATCAAGATAGGCGCCAGATGCTTCTTCTGTAACCAGGAGGGGCACTTCAGAATGGATTGTCCCTTGTTCTGGGAAGCGGTCAAGGACCAGAATCACCCCAAACATAAGTTGGCATTAGCGGCGGTACAGAATCAGCGGAATAGGCAAAACGAGTTTGAATCTAGGAACTTAGGGGCACCAAACACCGAATTGCCGACGAGAACAGTGAAAACTGTAACACATGTTAACGGTGCGATAGAATCCGCGGCCGGGAAATCTCTAGAGATAAATTATGAGAAAGCGGCGACGGAAGCAATTGCCAAAGTGAAACAGGATCTGGCAGCGAAAGAAATAGAGCAACGACTAAAGCTGGAGATAGAAAGACAGAATTTTAACGAAGCATTAACCGGATCGAAACAAATACCAGAGGCTGTACCAGGCTCAACAAAGACCGGGAATTGCAATACTGTGAAAATGGTGACAGGTAAGCCTTTTGGCATATCGAAAATCGGGGCAAGGATAATGTCGATAATCACAGTGGGCGGCCACGAGGTAACCAGAAACTTGAGCGAGCCGAGCGACCAGACAATAATGCACATTGACGTGTATGCAGACTATTTGAGTGGTATAAGCCCACAAACGACTTCTAGAGCACTGAGAGCACTACTCATGAGAGGGGGCAGCAAGTCGGTACGTGTTGATAGCAGATATACTGAAGCTTATGGTCCACACGAGGTGATGCTAAATATAGATGGGATTAACATCTATACCAAGACGATGATAACATGTGACGAAGACCTAATTGGACAAATCTACGTAGGGAAAGAAGAATTGAAAGTGAGATCGATTGGACACTGCGCCATGCTTGAAGAAGATGCAATGCACATCGGGACGGAGGCAGATGTGACAGGGCACGTGCTGGATATAAGTGGCAAAAAGACTCAGTTGCGTGGGTTGCTTGACACGGGAGCAGTCTTGAGCGTCATACCAATCGAAACTTGGGCAAAGGCGACTTGATAGACTCGAGAATACGGCTGTCGGCTGCAAACAAAGGGGCCCTTCGGGTGCTGGGCAGGACGCCAATAATAGCCCTCAATTTGGGGGAACGTAACCTGTGGATGAGCTTTATCGTGGTAGAAAACCTAGATGAATCTGACCAATTTATTTTGGGTAGAGACTTCATCAGGAATTTCGACGTAACGATTGATCTAAATAACGCAATGTTCAGGATACGGATCCCGGATAGGAGGTACGCAATCAAACCGGTAAATTTAATAATGGCAAATGAAAACAAAGCACCGGTATTCTTGAGTAGGAGGGTGAGGTTAAAAGCTAATGAAGCGGCAATCGTAAGTTTGAGGATGAAAAATTACAATGAACTAAGTGACAACAAGCAAGTGTGCATAGTTCCGAATCCTAATAGTCAAAGTGCTGCTGTTTTAGGAAGATCATTTTCGATAACGAAGAGCGGCCTCTGCGTCAGTGTCTTGTTGAATACCCTTGATATACCGATCACGATACAGAGAGGGAGGAAACTGGGATATGCTTTACCGGTTAAAACTCGATATGAAACAATTGAGAACTCAAAACAAAATGAAGTTGTTGATTGTCCCAATCACAGGGACAAAATTTGTATCTTGAGACGATTGCAGAAAATAAAAGATTCTTCAGGTCTTATTAAATCACTTAAGTCAGAAACGGATGATGGTCTTTCGAGCTGTTCGAACTTTCCAGAACGACCCACACTAGATGAAATGCAAAATGAAAAACCGGTCCTGCCGGAGATTGAACATTTGAGGGGCAAACTGAAAGATGAACAGCTCGAAGCCATCAAGGACGTACTAGAGCGGAACGAGGAAGTTTTTTCGAGGCATAAGGCGGATATCGGGTGTTGTAATTTCGTTGAGCATGAAATAGAACTTGAGGAAAACGCGGTACCACACAGGGAGGGGGCGAGGCGCATGACCCCACACAAATCGGACGCGTGTAGAAAAGAGATCGAGACGTTACTAGAGTATGACATGATAGAACCATACAAGTCACCGTGGGCGTGTGGAGTAGTGATGGCCAAAAAGAAAGGCGACCAGTTGAGGTTTTGTTGTGACTTTCGATACCTGAACTCCGTCACGGTGAAGGATGCCTATCCCATACCTAGGATTGATGAGAGCCTCTCGAAGTTAGGTGATGCAAAATTTTTTACGACTCTTGATTTAGGCTCGATCTTTTGGCAAGTACCACTAAGGAAGCAGGACAGGGACAAGACAGGGTTTGCCTGCGAGTTGGGTCTGTTTCAATGGAAACGGATGCCGTTTGGACTTTGCAATGCCACAGCCACGTTTCAGCGGTTGATGGCACACGCGCTGATAGGCGTAACGAAGAAGTATGGCAACCTGGTAATGTGCTACGTGGATGACGTGGTAATAGCGACGCCAACACTGGAAGACCACATTGAGAGACTAGACGAAGTGTTTGCATGCATGAAGAGGTCGGGGCTAAAGTGTAAACCATCAAAGTGCGAGATACTCAAGGACTCAATAAAATACTTGGGCAGGATGGTAGACAAGCACGGCATCAGACCTGATACGGACGCCGTGGAAGCAGTCCTGACCTGGAAATCACCGAAGACAGAGCACCAGTTGATGAGCTTCCTGGGTTTCGCTAACTATTATAGAGAGTTCATCAAAGGCTATGCAGACAAGGTATACCCGATGCAACAATTAATGAGACACAAGGGCAAGAAGTTCACGTGGAACAACGCAGCAGAAGAGTCATTCCAGAGGATAAAGAAAGAGCTATGTGAGGCACCAGTACTGGGTATGCCGACTGAGAAAGGGATGTACGTGCTGGACACGGATGCGTCGGTGGTCGCGATTTCTGGGATTCTCCACCAAGAACAAGAATGGAATGGGAAGACAGTCTTGAGACCAATAGCGTACGGGAGCAAAGTCCTGAGTGACACGGAAATGAAGTACGGAGCACCGAAAGCTGAGATGTTCGCGGTGGTTACCTTTGTCGAGAAATACAGGGCATACCTGGGCAGTGAGCCATTCAAGTTGCGAGTCGACAACAGAGCACTGAGCTGGCTGAAAACGTACTCAATGGACCAAAGTTACATTTGGAGGTGGATAGTTCGCCTGGACGGATACAACATGATAATTGAGCATAGAACGCGAGATAAACATCAGAATGCCGACAGCTTGAGTAAGAAGACGGAGTTCTATGAGAGACAAGAGCAAAGAGAAGCAGACAGACCTGAAATCAAAGATGGCTTCTCATTCATGGACAAGGAAACGTACGACAGTCTTCCACTCACGAGATGGCTGGACAAGTCAGGCAAACCGATAGAAGATCATCCTGAATTGCCTAAAGAGCCTCCAGAGAAGAACATCTTGAGGAAGAGCAAGAGGATTCCGATTGAGATTATACTCAAGTCGAAGATCGTGAAGGAGACGCTCAAGGCAAAAGGCTATGATCTTAACCAGGTGGAAGCAGGAACTGCAGAGATAGATGATGACTTAATGAGGTTGCTCGAGAAACTATCAGATGATAAGCCCGTGATCCAGGAGAAGGGTCAAGAGAAACCGGAATTCACTATACTTCGGAGAAAAGAGACAGTGAACGATACTGACTCATCAAGAGGAAGCGTCACTGACAGCAAAGATGTCGTGCGGTCACTAGTTGACAAAATCCCCGAAGACATTTTGGAGCAGACCAAGGTTAGGAAAAAGAAAGTGACGTTCAAGGAAGATACTGAACACCTGGGACTAGGTCAAGAGTCCGGGGAGTGTTCCAGGTTCACGGAAGAAGGAACCGGAGAAGGAAAATTGTCCGGGGAGCGTGAAGGATGGGATGAAGACTCGGATGACAGCGAAAACCAGAGACAGCGAAAACCAAGACAGTCTGTGCATGATATTGGCGGAAGAGAAGACAAGGCACCACGACAGGGAGTTACAGACGGATCCATCTTCAGGAACATACAACATGGACATACAGGAGATGCGAGGTGGTGAGGAACTTGAGAAAATTGCGGTCGCAAGGAAACCATTCAGGGAACTATCATGCAACTCAAACATCAGAACGAATCTGGTGCCAGAAGATGATATGAAAATCGTGAAAAGGATGATATGCGTGAAACTGAGTGATGACATCCACAACCCTGGTGAGATGAATGGACAGATCATGGCGCTAAAGGAGCATGTCAAGGCAAGATATAGGCTGTCAGACCTAATAAGAGCCCAGAAGAATGACAAAATGACAAGTAACCTCTCCAAATGGATCCAGTCGGGGGTCAAGGAGAAGGGGGAACTTGAGGAAGACAGCTACAAGATCTTGAGCCAGTTCTACAAAGAAAAGAAAGACTTACTTTATCACACAGCTGATGGAGTGGTAGCGTGCAAGAGGAGAGATGAGGAAAAAATATTACACAAACACAACCTCATCATACTACCACAATTGTACCAGACAGAGGTGCTTTTCAGATCACACGACCAGATGGGTCACCAGGGGATAGATAAAGTACAACAAAGGATACTTCACAGATTTGATTGGCCAGGAATGAGAAAAGCTTGCGAGAGATGGGTGAATGCCTGCCTGGCATGTCTCCAGGTAAAAGACCCAAGGAAGATGAAGTTTCCACTCAAGTCAGTTGAGAGCTCAGAGTTCAATGAAGTGGTGCAGATAGACCATCAAAAAATCTTTATGACAGAGTCGGGATACAACCAGATACTGGTTATAATAGATCACTTCACAAAGTTGGCGGAAGCGGTTCCGTGCCAGACAGCCTCGGCCAAAGAGACATGTGATCATCTGATAACGCATTGGATATCGCGGTATGGTTGTCCAATGACTTTCCAGTCGGACAACGGCAAAGCTTTCGTGGGGGACTTGACAAAAGAATTGATGAAGAGATCGCACATTGCTCAAGCACACTCGACGACCTAGCATCCGCAGACCAATGGGTTGGTAGAGAGACAAAACAGGACACTGGTCAACATGTTAAGGGTGTACTGCTCAAGATACATGACGGACTGGGACAAATACCTGCCACAGGTAGTAGGAGCCTACAACAGTACACAGCACTCAACTACGGGCATCAGTCCTTTCATGATGTTGACAGGCAGGGAGAGAGCAATGCCTCTGACATTCTTTTACCCGGAATACGAGGGGAAAAGGACGTCGCCTCAGGCATACGTGAAAGAAGCGATCAAAAGACAACAGGAGTTGAACGAGCTATGCAGGAGGAACACGGCGCAAGCGCAAATGAGGCAACGTAGGAAATATGACGAAAAAATATTAAGAGCAAAGCCATATGAAGTGGGCCAATATGTGTGGGTCTTCCAAAATGTAATACCGCCCAAGGGAACAAAGAAACTACTCAAGAAGTGGAGGGGACCATTCATGATAACGGAGGTTCATCAACAAGGACGGTTCTATCGCTTGAGTACTGGGCGAGCGGCACATTATGAAAATCTGAAGCCTCACGTCCCATCCCCAGAGGATTGGTGCATACCGAAGGACATGGAGGGTCTTGAGTACCTGGTGGTAGAGCCAGCGTGTGAAGTGAATGAGAAAGGCACTAGAGAGAAAAATGATGGTAATGAGAACTTGAGTTTGGACGACAATGAAAAGATAGGAGTGGGGTCTGATGCAGGATCATTTGTAGAAGAAGACTGGAACGACCCGGAGCAAGACGAGGTGCCGAAGTGGATGGAGCCGGATCGACCAACACCACCGGAAACTAGGACTGACAATCGTAAACGCACCGGCATGAGGTACAACAGGTACGGGGATGACTTCTTGATCGATAGGATACAGCCAGACAATTTGGGCGAGGAATTACTGAAGGCAGGCGAACTGGAAGCCGGAGAGGAATGGCAGGTCATTGATGATGGTGGTCATTATCCGCAGGATGATTACTCGACGCCAGAATTAGAAACGGATCTCGAACAGAGTGAGATAGAGAGGAGGGAGAACACGAACTTGAGGATTCTAGAGTGGATGCGTGATGTCAAAGACGAGAGCCGCGAAGGACAAAGCATTCAGCAAGTCGATGTATCAGCAGCGAATTACATGAAGACAGAGGACCCTCTTTTCGGATGGACGGCAACAGACAGGCCACTGGACATTCCTCAGGACAATTCAGACCCGACAACATCGACGGGGACGTCGATAAATATTTTTGTCCGGGGAGTGGGGGTAGGACTTACCCACACCGAAAATTTGATGATAAAGAAGCTCAAGGAAGTGAGAGAAACGAGCGAATTGGAACTGGAGGAAGAAGAGCCAGAGCCTACTATAGGTCGGAACTTCAAAACGAAATTCGAAATACCCAACGAATACTCGGAGAACATCATGATAACGGATAGCGACTTCATCCTGTCAAACAGGACCAGCGCGATCTGCATCACGGCGGACATGAGTTTCAAATCAAGATTGGAAGCTGACTTCAAAAGAGAGTACCAGAATGTAGAGTTTCTGTTCAGACAGAGACCAGGACTGGGAGGGATGGCAGCGCTTCCACCGTCAGTGGCACAAGTCCCGGGCAAATATCTGTGCTTCCTAGTAACGAGGGTCAATGACAGGAACACAATCGATCCCGAACACGTGATATTGGCACTAACAAGATTACGAGACTTCATGATTGAAAGAGGGATAACAGAAGTCTCAATGCCGGTGTATGACCC